TGAATGAGAGTGAGTAGTGAGTGAGTGAGTGAGTGAAATGAGTTGAGAGAGGGAGTGAGTGAATAGTGAGTGAGTGAGTGAGTAGTGAGTGAGTGAGTGAGTTGTGAGTGAGTAGTGAGTGAGTGAGTGAGTTGTGAGTGAGTGAGGTATGAGTGAGTGAGTTGAGGGAGGGAGAGAGGCAGGAGTGAATACGAATTGGCGTCTGTGCTCATGATTTTTGTAGCGATGAACTACGCACTTGTGCCCTTATTTCTTGCCCCGTCCACTGCAGACAGTAGTTCTACTCCTTCCTTAGCAGAATGTCAGTCTGACCCCCCTACTTTCCCTTCCGCCCCTCGGCCCTGACTCTGGCCATCTGCCCTGCTGAGAACCTGGGGGTTTTATGAAAAGCCCGAGTTCTTCTCTCAGCATCGAGGTGCCTGAGCCCAGGAAGCGGGCTGGCTTCCTCTCCCCTCTACGGATGAGAAAGAGCCTCTGTGTGCCAGGTGCTCCCTGCTTGCTGGGACCTTGCTGGCGGAGGTCCCCTCTCGAGATCACAGTAATGAAGGGGAAGCTAGAGCCTGTTGCCAGGGAGACGGTGACCCCCATGGGTGTCAGAGTAGAACTGTGCTCCTTAGGGCTTTCGACGGCTGATTTCTTGGAAGGAGGTCACCAGGACTTTCTTCAGAGATGCCGCTGGGTGGACCCGAACCCCCAACCTTTGAGTTAGCAGCTGAGCGTGTTAACCACTACCAGAGACTCTAGGGTACAGACTGATGGACAGGTCTAGATACCTTATGTGGATGATCTCTTACTGCTCACAGCACAGTACCTGGGAGGGAGGAGGCTCCCTCACTCACCGCACATTGCAGAGGAGACACTGAGGCAAAGGAAGATGATCAGCTTAGGAAGATCACAACGAGGAAGGAGCGGAGATGGAGCTTGACTCTGAGGCTGTGTGTTCGGAGCCCATTGCTCATCCTCCCCACGGGCCAGTCCCTAACTGTAGACACTGTCCGAAGACAGTGAGCTGGCGGGTCTAGTTCCACTCAGTGTGCAGCCAGGCTGTGTCCACTGCAGTGCTGGGCAGGTAGCTCAATGAATGGGCAGGGATAGCATTGCCAAGTGAGTCAGCAACCTGGTTGGAAGGGCAGAGGTCGAGGCCCTGGCACGCTTTCAAGTTGACCCTGACTTACAACCGCCCTCTGGGACAGACAAGCACTGCCCCAGAGAGTTTCCTACGCTGTCATCTTAAGGGAAGCCGGCTGCCGCCTCTTTGTCTCTTGGGGGGCCTTGGCGGATTCAAACTGCCGCTCTTCTGATTAGCAGCCATGTAGTCTCATGCCAAAAACCAAACTCACTGCCATCGAGTCTGTTCTGACTCCCAGCAGCCCTGTAGGACAGAGTAGAGCTGTCCCTGTGGGTTTCCGAGACTGGAAATCTTTACAGGAAGAGAATGCTTCATCTTTCTCCCGGAGGGTGGCTGGTGCTTGAACTATTGAACTTGCCTACCTCATCAGCACTCCTCCAGTGCTTTTGGCCAGCCAGGCATACACTGGCCAAGCAATAGGTCTGGTTTGCATGGCTACAGCTTTTCGGAGCCTCTGCGGTGGCCAAAGAAATAGCTGAGAGTTGATCTTAGAGGCTGGCCACCCAGTCTGTAGCCCACCACCCACCCAGGGCTCCCTGGGCAGGTAGTAGGTGCTCATAAATGTTGGGTGACTGATGATGGGATACGCAGTGTTGCTCAGCCAGGAGAGCCTGGGGGCGGGGAGTGGGAGTGAGGCTCTTTGGGTGCACCACATTCTGTTTATAGAAGGGCAAAGTGTCGCCTTCACCAAGATTGTGGTAAAGCACCGATGACCACGAGCTCCCTCAGGAAGGGATTTATCAGAACCATGCTTCCATCCTCCCATTTCTCTCTACATCCCTTTGTCGGCTCCTTTGTCAAACAAGCATGGACCACTGCCGGTGGGAGGCAGATGAGATCTACCCCTGACCCTGAGGTCAGCGTATGATGGGACATGCCGGGGGGGAAGTGGTGAAAGGAAGAGCCATGTGGTCTCTGGGCTTGGGGGCTACGCACAATGTAGACGAGGGGGCTTTACCTGGGGTCCTGAGGTGATGGGAGGCAGGAGCCAGGCGAGGGTCGGCAGGGGGTGGCGACAAAAGATTGTTCTAAGGTAACAGAACCCATGTGGGCTGAGGTCAGGAAGTGTGTGGGCACTCCCTGTGTGACCTGGGCAAGTGCTTTCCTTGCTCCGTGCCTCCGTTTCCCCCTGTGTAAATGAGGAGGTTGATAGGGACACTCTTAGGGATGGTCCCGAATCCTGGCCCTCAAGTCCAACCCCTATCACTCAGTTCTAGATGACACAGTAGGCGGCAGAATCCTTTTCCTGAGCCCAGGAAGCCATTATGAGTGCTGTGTGCGCTGGGGGTTCCTCAGCCTGACCCTGCAGAGGACTTGCAAAGTGACCCCCTGTCTGGGCCCCAGGAGTCAGGGAGATACCCCACCCCACCCCCAACCGGAGGTCTGGATCCGGACTCCCCAGATGCTCCAACTGGGCCCACTGACCTCCCACCCCGCCTCCTTCTGCTGCAGACGCGAAAGGGCTGAGCGACCCAGGCAAGATCAAGAGGCTGCGCTCCCAGATGCAGGTGAGCCTGGAGGACTACATCAACGACCGCCAGTACGACTCGCGAGGGCGCTTTGGCGAGCTGCTGCTGCTGCTGCCCACGCTGCAGAGCATCACCTGGCAGATGATCGAGCAGATTCAGTTCATCAAGCTCTTCGGCATGGCCAAGATCGACAGCCTGCTGCAGGAGATGCTGCTGGGAGGCCCCTGCCAGCCTCAGGAGGGGCTGAGAGGTGGGCAGCGGGGGCAAGGGACCACTGTGCACACCTGCACTCACCGCTTTCCTTGTTTGGAAAATGGAGACAGTGGTGCACTTGTTCAGTCACTGTTGAAAGTGGGAGATTCAGCAGGGGACAAGTTTCTGTCCAGCTGGAGAGAGAGAGAGAGAGAGAGAGAGAGAGAGAGAGAGTGTGTGTGTGTGTGTGATGGGAGTAGACAGCCATCAAACACAAAACAAGCCAAATGACCACAGGTTTTGACATGAACAGGTACAGTGATGGAGAGTAACTGAAAAGGGGCCTCTTCTGATAGCTTGGCCCAGGAAGACCTTTCTGAAAGAGCTGGTGACTTTTGCTCTAAAGATAGTGGTTCTCAACCTTCCTCATGCCGCGACCCTTTCATACAGTTAGTTCTTCATGGTGTGGTGACAACCCCCCCCAACCATAAAATTATTTTCGTTGCTACGTCATCACTGTCATTTTGCTACTGTTATGAATCGGGCGACCCCTGTGGGAGGGTCATTCGAACCCCAAAGGGGTCACGACCCACTGGTTGAGAACCGCTGCTCTAAGACCTGATGGAAATGAAAGGATCGAGAACATTCGTATCAAGACCAAGGACAGGAGACATTTGTGGGTTGAGGAAGAAGGTTGAGGGGAGGATTTGTATGAGATAAAGATGGGTATTTGAACAGAAGCAAAATCATAAAGACATGGCCTTGCAGACCTGGGCAGAAGTTTGGATTTTTATTTATTGTAGACATGGTTAAACCAGTGGCCATCAGACTAACTGTTTGGGGGAAATCACTCTGATCATTGACTATGGAGCAGACTTCAGGAAGGTCAGCATGCAGGCCGGAGACCATTAGAATGGGTCTGACCGGGTGAAGGGTGATGGAGGCGTGGCCTGAGGCGTGACTGTGGGAACGGAGCTGCGGAGAGTAGTTTGATCACCGCTCTTGGAGGGAGAGCCCACAGGATTGGCTGATTGATTGGAGGTGACGAGTGAAGCGCAGGGCAGATGTCAAGAGTGGCGTCTAGCATGTCACTTTGAACGACCGGAATGATGGCAGTTATTCACTGGGAGAGGGCGGGTTGGTCTGTGGTGGTGAGGGCGGTGGGGTGGACCCAGTGATTGATGAGGGACTTTAAGTCGACTTGAGATGATCCCGAAGTGGACGGAGATTGGAGATCCAAGTGGTGTTCGATAGCAAGGAGGCCGGTGCTCAAACCTGAGCTCAGGTTCAGAATGAAAGGCAGCTCCCAGGTTTCCCAGGGGGTGGAAGCGAGGAGACCAGGGGCCACGTGGAAGGAGACGGAGAAAGATTAGCCAGAGTGCGAGGAGAAAACTCAGGAAAGGGCAGTCTATCAGAACCCAAAGAAGAGCATGCCTTCAGGAGGATTAATTTACAGTGTTAGATGCCGGAGCAGGGCCGGCATTGGATTTGGCCACGTGGAGAACCTTGGTCATTAATTTTGTCAGCGTGCTAGGGGAATGCAAACCAGACTGAGGGTGTACCAAAGTGAGCAGAGTGAGTGTGGGAGGGGGGAGTGCGCAAGTGCAGACAGCAAGGGTGGGCAAGGCTTCGGCTGGCGACATGCTGACGGAGGGAAGGCTTCCAACAGTGGGCTTCACACTCTGGGCTGAACGCAAGGAGGGAGGCAGACGAGGCGAGAGATGAGTGGGGTCAGCGATGTGCTGGGTAGTGAAGGTGCCCGATGCTGTGAGCTGGAAGGGTGCGAGGTCAAATCCAGGTGAAGACGTTTGAGTTGACATTTCAGAGGGGTTCGTGGGGATGGCCTGGCGGAGGGCAGGATTTCTCAGCCTCAGAACAGCACCCTGAGGCCTGGATGATCCTCTGTGGTGGGGACCGCTCTGTGGATTGTAGGAATTCATCAGCTCCTACCAGACAGCAGTCTTGGACCCCAGGTGTGACAACCAACTCTGTCCTAGACACTGCCAAATGTCTAGGGTGGGCGGCAGGAAATGACAAAACCACGCCTGGTGGATACACCACGGGGCCCAGGGCGTGGCCATGGGAATACGGCAGGGGTGAGGCAGAGGGAAAGATAAAGTCACTGAAGGCGCCAGGTGGAGTATCCAGGTGCATCTTGATGGAGTCAGAGAAGGGGAAGAAGCAAGCAGACAGTGAGCCCGAGACCAGGTGGGCGGCAGAGGTTCCCATGTAGAGTCCCTCAGATGGCTCCTTCAAAGGAGGGGGAGAAGGAGACGTTTGGAAATGGTCCTCACCTCATCCTTACCTGCTCGCCTTTCTTCTTTCAATGTGTATGGACTAATTAGTGTGTGCCAGGTCAATGTGGGGGGGGCGGTGGTTGGTGAAGAAGATGTGGAAGGACCCTCTTCTTGGAACTTAAATCAGGCAAATCATCACCTGTGCAAGCAATATATCAGGACAATGAAAATAACTGCTCTGTTGGAAGAAGTGGGGTTTGATGGGAATATCATTGGGTTGGGGTGAGACAGTGCTCTCTGAGGAAGTCACACCCGAACTCTTCTTTCGCAGAGAAGTGGGCAGGCAGAGGTTTAAGGCAGAATGGAAAACAGGACTTGGTGATGGGTAGGTGTGACGATGAGTACAGGACTGTGTCCAGGTGTGTGGCTTGGGCACCTGGACCATTGTGCTGCCACTTGGTGCCCATGTCCTTCCGTGGACCAGGAACATCAGCTGAGTGAGAAGGAGACCTCATGCTCTTTGAATCCTTCTGGACACGCTCTGAGCCCCACCTACTTCCCCATTCTCCTCAAAGCCCCATTGAGCACCTGGGCCCAGCCCAGCCTGGGGAGGCCATTTGAATGAGAGTGAACGCTGGGTGTGGTACAGACAGCAAAACAGTTTGTTTCCCCAGTAACTCCATGAGGGAAATCCTTCCTGAAGGTTCCCAACAATCTCATCAGTAATCTAACACCCTTGATTTGGGGGAAGTGAACCCCACTCTGACTCCCTGTGCGGGCCACAGTGGAACCATCTCATGTCCCCATTTGACATGCTCCAGAGCCCTGGTGGCACAGTGGTTAAGCACTTGGCTGCTGAACTCGAAGTGGGTGGTTCAAACCTATCAGTGCTCCGTGGGCGAAAGGGGTGGCAGCCTGCTTCCATCAAGACAAACAGCCTTGGGAGCCCGCTGGGGACCAGTTCTGTCCTGTCCTACAAGTCGGAGTTGATTCGATAGCCATGGGTCTTCTTAGAGCACTTTCCTATATGGCAGGGGCTTCTCAACCATGGATGGTTAACCTCTTGGGTCGGATGAGTCTTCACGTTGAAGACGGTCATGCACCCTGCAGGATGATGAGTAGCATCCCTGGCCTCCACCCACCGGATGCTAGTAACATCTTCCTGCTCCACCCCCAGTCCCCAACAGTGATGGACAAAAATTGTCTCCAAACATTAACCGAGCTTCCTCTGAGGGGGCAAAATTGACAGGAGGCGAGAACCATCATCGTAGGTTAACTCACCTAACTCTCACCTCATCCTTGTGGACATGAGATTGTCACAAATCAGGTGTCATTGAAATTAGGATGAGGAGTTTACGTTCTGTGGCCAAATAAATTTGGGGAAGAAAATGAAGCTTTTGGTGTCTTGTTAGCTCATCTATAAAAATGGGATAATGATGAAGAATTAAATTATATAAAGCCCATAAAAAACCTGACTTGAATAGTTAAAAAAAGTATTTAAAGCCCACAAGGCTCTGTAAAGCAGTGCCTGGTGCATGATGGGTACTCGATAGTCAAATGGCTGAACTAGGTGTGCTTGCCAGGTCTCTGTTCGCCCTACATTTTCATTACTGTCACTGTCATATTTGTGAGCAAATCATACCCTATATGATATTATTACTCCTGGACACAGCTTTGTTTTGGGAACAGTTACTGAATTCTAGACACTGTGCTCAACCTCAAAGCAAAAAGAAAATGTCCACATGAACACATGTCTGTAGACAGAGGCTGGTCCCCTAAACGAGGTTACAGATAAGTGACTGGGAATTCAGAAGGAGGGATTGCTGTTGTGGGGACACTCGGGAGAGGTTTCCTAATGGAGAAAATACCCGAGCTGGGATTTGGACTTGTGAATGGGTTGGGGGCTGGAGAGGGGAGGCAAGAGGAAGGGGAGGGTCTCTAAGGAAAGCTGCAGCCTCAGCAAGAGCACAGAGTCAGGAGAGGACAGGAAGCTCGTGGACGGGGGAGAAGGCCACTGGATTGGAGCAGAGGCTTGAGGGCTGAGACTGGACGGTTAGTTGGGACAAAATGGTTGGAGACCTTGGCTGTCAAGGAGCTTTAAGAGTCGTGGATTAAACCCATCATAGTACTATGCAAACACTACACAACTGGTCTTCATATTTAAGTAACGCAAAGCTTCCTTATATCATTTTTGTTCCTTTCAAATCACTTTGGCTCTCTGGGTTTGTTGGATCCTCTGTAAGGATAGGAATGGCAAGTCCCAGTTTACTAGCCTAAGAATAAGCAACCAGTGGGTACTATCAGTGATGGATGGGCAAGTCGGGTGGCCATTCCCAAGGAAGATGATGCCTCGAGGTCTTGGGTCAACATCCAAGATCTTCCCTTCTAATTGAACCTCCTCTTCACCCACAGGGTCCTCCGGTGATGCACCTCATGCCCACCATCCCCTGCACCCTCACTTGATGCAGGAACACATGGGCACCAATGTCATTGTTGCCAACACGATGCCCGCTCATCTCAGCAATGGACAGATGTGTGAGTGGCCCCGTCCCAGGGGGCAGGCAGGTGGGCAATCTGGGAGACTACCCAGCCAGGGGCAAGGATGGCTATCTGAGAGCAGAAGCAGGAGATGGTCGGGTCTAGTTGATGGAAACTCAGACGCACCCATGCTCTGTGGTAGGGGATCAGGAGTGAGGAATGAGGGGGTCATCTGTTAAGGCTCTCTCTTCAGTAAGGCCATCCATTGAGGTGACTGACAGCCTCGACTGAATACAGCTGTCCCTGGGATGAGGCAACTTCCTGGGTGAAGTTGCTTTTGAGTGAAGATCTTCATTGGGTGAGAATTTTGTTAGGAGATCTTTACCATGAGGTTAAATTGTCCAACTGGGTCAGACTATCTATCCATTAGCCAACTTGGTTAACTTAGCCACTGTATGAGGACATTCCCTGAGTTAGACGATTCTCTCAGAGAAGATGTTGGAAGAGTGAAGAGGTCATTGGGTCAAATTCTTCAAAGAGTTAAGATGATCCCTGGGATGTGCTCATCTTACTGAAATGAGATTTCATTTCATTGAGGTTGTTCTTTGAGAAGGTTGTCCATTGCCCAAGGTGGTTACTGGGATGATGTCCAATGAGGTAAAGCAGGATAATTGGATCAACGTAATTCTTTTATGGGATAGTTTCTGTTGCTAATCTTTGAAATAGCCAAGAAATGGTATAGTCAGAGCCAGTTAGCCAACTTTTGGGTTTCATTGATTATTGCTCCTTCTCCAAAGAAAAGGATTCTTGTCACGTGCCCCTTGCCTTGGAGAGAGTCAGACTAGGGTCCTGGGTAGAAAGACATAGTCCAAGTCTCCATCTCGGATAGTAGGGGGGCCTGGGGAGTTGATAAGGCCTGGACAAAGGAAAGCTCTCACCACCCAACTGTAAGGTTTATTTGGGCACGAAACAGAACCAAAGATCCAATTAACAAGGTTTTAGAAGCAGGCTTTATTGTGAAGCTTGTGGGCGGGTTCAGCAACTCGGGGCATTGAGCTAGTGAAGCCGCACAGTGGAAAATTTTAGCGGTGTTTTTATACCCCCTGCTAGCAGGCACAGCTGGCGGGGGGCGGCGTGCTTACACAGGGGTTTTCAAAAGGGAAGCAGTCGTTAAACTTATCTGGGAATTGGGTAGGAGTTGAGCAAATGAGCTGAGCAAGCATCCTGTTATTGAGAACATGCAATTTCGGACATCTGTGGTTGACCGAAGGGAGCGGGAGGCCGGTGAGGGGTAAGTTTCAAGAACTAAAATGGAAGTGCTTGACTCATAATGGGGTTTCTTGTGCCAAGGCCAGACACCAAACCTGTTCTGTGCACAGCCTTTCAAACCTCGTGAGATTTAGTCTTGACCACGTGGGGCTCAGAAGGTTTGAGTAGTAGGAGGTTTTAGGAGTGAACTAGTTTAGGTCTTTCATTCCAAAGATGAGGACGCCAAATCTCAGAGAGTGGGGAGAACTCTTTGCTGACTTCCCCAAAGGGCAGGGATTCTGAGCGCCCCTCTCTCTGTCCCTCCAGCCACCCCTGAGACTCCACAGCCCTCGCCGCCAGGTGGCTCAGGGTCTGAGCCCTTCAAGCTCTTGCCGGGAGCCATCTCCACGATCATCAAGCCCCCATCTGCCATCCCCCAGCCAGCTATCACCAAGCAGGAAGTCATCTAGCAAGTCGCGGGGGGTCGGGGGCTCTGCTGGCTCCCCCCAACCCCCTCAGAAGAGAGCCGGGTGATCACGTGGTCACAGCCAGGGTCAGTCCCAGAGCAGTAAGAGAAAGGGCAAAGGGCTCAAGGTGGAGAGCCTAGGAGAACATCCCCTTGCTGCCCTTCTGCACTGGACGATGGGGCTTTGACTTGGGGACACACTGACTGGAGAGTCCTCCGCTGCCATGGACAGCTTTTGTCATGCCGAGGCCACTGTCTTCACCTTCATCCGTACCCGCCCCACCTCCTCTGCCCCGAAGGACAGCTGTCCGGAGACAACATGGGGCACCTCCTTAAGCAGGGCTCCCTTCTCCCCCCGCCGCCTCTCCTTGTACTGATCACAGGGTCCAGACACAGCACCTCTGAAGGTGGATCGGGTGGTGACTGCCTTACCTCCCCCCACTCTGCCACCCGACCTCAGATGCTGCCCCCCACCCCCTCCAGACCCCTGCCCGAACCAGCACCAAAGCCATCGCTGCCTCCCCGATGGGCTTGCGGCTACTCACGTGGGTCAGCAGAACCGAGCCTACTGGGGCTCCCATGCCCGACTTTCCAACAGGTGGTCATCAGGCCTTTCTTTCAAGGCACCGCTGAGTGGACTTGAACCTCCCACCTCCGCTTAGCAACTGAGCACATGAACTGCGCGCACCACGCAGGAATCCTGCTTTTCCTAAAGCCACCTCTCCAGAGGCCAAGGAAGAAGCCCCGGCCCCCCTCCTGCCAGGACCATTTTCCAACATAAGAGGGGCCCAGGCAGCCGAGGATGGATGGGGCTATTGGGAGGGAAGGCCCTACCTGGCCTCCCTCTCTTAAGGACTTGGGTGGGTGTTTGGAGTCGTGGTGGTGGGCTTCCAGCCAGGAGAGAACCGTCGCAGGTGGACACCTGCCATGGTAACGATTGTGCGAGGGCTGGAGAGTCCTAGAAAGCCTCCTGGGAGAGGGAAGGTGGGACTAGAGCCAGGGGCCCCGCTGAGACAGGACATTACACACGAGGGGAGGCTGCCCGGCAAGGGCTGGGGGCCAGAAGACTGGGGTAGGAGGAAGTAGGTAGAGAGACCAGGCTGTCTGGACAGAGAAGGCTCTAGGGTGCCAGATGGAGGCCCCAGAAGTTCATCATGGGTGTAAACGTACCAATGATGGTGAGGATGGCGCAGGACTGGGAAACCTTTTGTTTGGTCCCCACGAGCTAGTGCCATCTTGCAGCGTCTAGCAGCAGCACCTAGTAGCAGCAGCCAGGTTGAGGTCAGAGGGTCAGATGGGGGCTGTGGTATGAGTTGGATGAGAAGGATGGGACCCAGGCGATGGCCTAGGTGGAGCCTGGAGAGGAAGGGATGGTGAGAGAGAGATGGTGGACCGGCTCAGGTCGGCGCTACGGAGGAATTAGCCCTCAGAGCCAGGCATTGTCTTCATGGGGGACGTGGCACCCACCTACCTCGTTTATCTTCCCAATTACTCAGCGACACTGTTGGAGATGAACTTGAGTTCTCCGAGGTTGCCAGATTTCTCTGGAATTCACCCTGCTCTCAAGAGGCAGAGGCGGGACTTGAACTTAGGTCATCCGACTGGATCCGAATGGGAAGTCTTACCCGTGGCAGAGCAACCTTGCCGGAAGGGCTTCTCTTTCCTCACCCTGATCAAGTTGTGGGACTTTGGGCCTCCTCCACCAACCTCAAAAGCAAAAACCTTCCCCATCTCCAGAGACCTGCCCCTGCCTAGAACTTGCATTGATCCGAGGCTGCCCCCTGCCCCAAACTATTTAGGGCCCAGCATCTTGTTTGCAGATAAATATTAAGGAGAATTCATGATTCCTGGACTACCTTTCTCTCTTCCCTCCCCGAGTCTGGGAGAGGGAGAGCAGGGGTCCGGTCTGACACAGCAGCCTAGTGAAGACACGGGAGGGGGCAAACAGTGCAGATGGGGGCTCGAGAAGGGTAGGAAATCTGCCTGGGGGCACCACAAGCTCCCCAGAAGAAACAACCAGCACGCTGGACAACGTTGGGAACATTCTAGAAGATACCGTTAGCCAGTGGAGCTAAAGAGATGCCTCCTGTGACTTGGGCCATGCCTAGGTCAACAGTGGCTTGTTAGACTGGCTACCTGTCCTTCCCAGAGCCTGGGAATTCCACCATGACCCACGACCCTTTTATTGAAAGATAAGCGAAGCAGGCAGGCTGTCCAAGAGAAATGTCCCAGTGCTGTCAGACAGGACAGGCCCAAGCTCCGGGGAGAGACTGGTCCCTGCTCAGGTTCTCATCCGTGTTCCCTAGCCACTCCAGTTCTCCAGAAAGCCTGACCAGAGAGGCTCCGGCAGACCTGGGGCAAGGCGGAGGAGGGAGCTGGGCTCATTCTACCCATCACCACCATTGTCACCCCACTCTTTGCTCCTCTACTCCCAAGTTGCTCGGGCCTCAAGTGAGGAAGCAAAATTGAGATCAGGATTATCCTTGGGGGTGGGGGGAGTGGTGCCCCTTTAAGGCTAGCAACCTCTGAGCCCGGGAATCAGTCCCCAGCCCTCCAGCCCCCACCTTTCTGGCCCCCATGATGCTTCTGCCGAGGCAGCCCCCTCTTTAGGCAGTTCTCAGGAGCCAACAGAGTCCAGTCCACTCCCCCAGAGTGCAGGGTGGGAAGGGCAGGGTGGCGAATCCGAAATGGACATGGCTGGGTTTCTTGGGGTGACCCAGCCGATGGCTTTTGCCAAACTGTTCTGCGACCCTACCCTGGCTGGACGGACAGATGACTCACCTCAGCTGGAAGGGCCTTCAGATCTGTCAGCCTCTCCCTGGGCCACGACGGTCATCCTTTTCCATGCTGGTCCCCGCAGCCCCATCACTGCCATCTCCGTGGGGCAAAGAAACAAGAAACAAACCCAAACACCCATTTCTTACTTACCCATATCTTTTAACAACAACAACAAACAAACAAAAAAAGGCGCATAAAACAAAATAAATGACACATGTGTTTTCTAACTCCTGGGATCTGCGTCTACTCTTTGTGGCGGGTGGGGGAGCTGTAAGGATGGAAGTGTGTGAGCGTCGAGCACTCTCACCCCTGGGAGTGTTTCCCATCAGAGACACCATGGTTGGCCCTCTCTTTACGGAGGAGGACACAAGGGTCAGAGGGCATTTTTTTTACCCTGAGGGACTGATTGAACCCAGGGGGAATTGAACCCAGGTCTCTGGACTCCCAGTGCTCTGAATGCTGATACCGTGGGTTTGGATCTTCTCTCCTACAGAGGAGTGTGGTGGGGGAGAGAGTGATGGGCGGATCTGGGGTGAGGGGCAGGGGGGGGCAAGAGAGCCTGGGGCTCCCTTCAGTCATCAGAGTCTAGGATGGAGCCCATACTGGGTCCCTCCGGTGACCTGGGTCAGCCATGCTTAGTGGCCTGTAATGGCAGACAAGTTAGCAAGGGGCAGGTTTCATGAAAGCAAGGGTTATTTGACAACGAAAACAAGAAGAATGCCCAGCCCTATCTGGGCACTTTGGTCCTTCCTCCGGCTGAGCTGTATGGATGGGGTTGTGTCTTGGTCAACAGAGATCGCCTGCTTCTGTCATTTGGTGGCAGGGCGGAGGTAGCTCCTGCGAACAAGTTGGTTGATTTCTTCCCCACTCTGCTCCGGGATGTCGTGTGGAGAGTGGTGGGGCAGCATCTGTGCCACCCACAATGGCCCGCACGATACCTCAAGACTTCTTCCTTAAGCATTCGCCAGCACACGAGGCATCGGTGGGTGGGTGCAGAGGGACTTGCTGTTGACTGGACCATGGACCACCTAGTGTGGGATACACCACCTCCAGTATGCTAGATACAATATGGTGACCCTCCGAGGTTAGGCTGAGCAGGAGGGCCCCTGAATCACTCCCCAAAGGTGGGAACAAAAGTCTGGTCTTGGAGCCTTGGGCAAGTCGCTCCACCTCCAAGCCCCATCTGTAAATGGGAATGACCCTCCCTCCACGGTGTTTTCAGGATGAACAAGGGCTGCCATGGACCTGAGACACACAAAGTGGTACCACAGTTCCCAGCACCCCCCAGGGCTCAGGGAGTATGGACTCTCCCCTCTGTCACCTTCACCCTCCGGTGAGAGTCACCTTAATGAGGACCCATTCATTCCCCACCCGACCCTGGGACCCTTCTACCCCAAACACACACACACACACACACACACACACATACACACACACACACACACACACACACACTTGCTTCCCTCAACTTGGCCAGGAGACATCTTCTCTACTGTTACCAGGGAAGCCCTATCCAGGCCGTTGCCAGCATGAATGTGGGGGTAGGGGCCCCCGTATCGAGACCATAAACTCCAGGCTGCCATAAATTCCTATGGCCTTGGTTCTTCCAACTCATCAGCCCTTTGCCCCAGTTGATCTCCTATCTTGGCATGGCCACGGCCAAATCCAAATCCGGTTTTCTGTTTCCATTGCAAGACACTGTCAGCCTGAGTGACATACAGCACATCTCAGGAGCCCATTTCAGAGCCCCAGACTGAGGTTCCTAGTGGGGAGGGAGCCTGTCCCAGGCAGCCTAGCTGTTAGTATGCAGTTGATCCAGGCTCAGGCTCCAGAGCCTGCTTCTTCTCTCCACGCATGTGTACTGATGAGGAATTAGGAATTCTAAAGACCATCTCTCCCTCCTGGTCCCCCGACAAAGGTTGTTTCTAAAGATGTGTCATTCCTTCATCCCAAACGGAATCTTGCCCCTCGGAGTGCAGATTAGAAGTAGAAGGGACACTGGGGGAAAGGCTCCTTGATCAGCCAAAGAAAGTTCCAAAAAGCAGGCATGGCCTGTCGCTCTACGTGGGTGGAGTCGCCCTGCTTCCTCCTTTGGAGTGCCCAGGTCACCTTTGGTCTGCACATATGTAAATTACAAAGGGTGACCTAAGAGAATGGAATCATAGGGTCCCGTGTAGGTGTCTGATGAGGTGGGCCGAAGAACCAAACTAGGATGTCAAGGACAGAGGTCTATTGAGGGCTTCCTCACCGGCAAACTTTGTGAGCACTGCGTCATTTCCCCCAAAGACCCTCGGAGGCAGACACGGCTGTTCTGAGATTCAGAATGAGGACGGTTGGTGCCACAGCTCAGATCCAAACGCTGGTGGTCTGATGGCGCTGAGGACGCAGTCACCACAGGACGTGCGCAGAAGTAGTGTGGCCCGTGGGGGTTCATCCCTTGACAAATGTTGATGGGCAAAGCCCCGTGCCCAGGCACCCTGAGGTTATGAAAAAGCTATAATGCAGGGTGAGAAAAGTCAGGTCCCCAAGATGCCAGGTTATCTGATCCCCTCCTAAGGACATATCTGAAAAAGGTAAAATCATTGGGATAGACCACACCAAGGGTTGCGGGGGGCTTGAATACAAAGGGGTAGGCAGTAGGGGAGAGGTCCGTCTCAGGAGTGTGGTGCTGATGTTACATGACTGTTTGTCAAAGCTTGCTGAACGACATGCGGAAAAGGGCGAATTTTAGGGTTTGGAAATGACAGCTTGGTTTTTGTAACTGGTAGGGCCGAGCAACCACTGAGGGTGGAAAGGGCCCTGAAGGAGCTCTTTGGTGCCCGTGGCAAGGGCCGGGCATCTGAGCCAGGCTGCGTGCACTGGCGCACCTGCTGTCTTACTCCGGCCCTCAGGGAGCTGGGGAAGCGGATTTCATGGACGGTCCTGGGGTTTACAGACGTGGAGAGGACGCTCCTCCTCACAGGGTCCATGAGTGGCAGGATGAGAAAGCCCACGTTGCTGTCCCCAGTCCACACCGTTCCTAGTTGCCCTAGGAAGCGCAGAGTGTGAGTGTGAATGGCTGCCCCCACCCCCACCCTACAGGTCCTGTAGTTTTGCCAGCAGGTTCAAGCTGAAGATATGAGAACGTGGTACTTTTAGAGAAGTGGGGATCATAAAATATGTTCCATTTCCCAACGTGTGCAACGCCCAGGCCCGCCCCCTGGCCTTGGGAAAGGCTCCCCTGGCTTATCTGGGGTGGGGGTAGCGGGGGAGAGTGAAACTGTAAAAGCCTTTATGGCTTTGAGATCATGTCTGGCAGGGGCAGCGATTGTCGCCATAAACCTGAGCTGGCCCTGCAAGGGTGATGCCTGGGGCCGAGGGGGCCAGCGAAGAGTTGAGCAAGGCCAAGGAGTGGCAGCTGCTGAGCCAGGCACTTTGGGGCCTGTTGTCAGGCCTATCACTGACTTATCTCACGCTCGCATACACCCCAAGAGTTACCACACTGTTTTTTAATCCCATCACGCACCTCTGTTTGCATTCTGATAGCTCTTGAATGGGGATGCGTCTTCAACTCAGGAGGCATCTCGCCATCACTTTTTGGCTTGATCCAGGGCAGCCCTGACCCAATTGACTGAGCTCATTATTTCTGGTGACCTGACAACAGTAACCCCTGGGTATCCCATCCCCAAGCCTCTCCAGGACCACTTGGGCAGGGGCATGTGTTCCCGTGGTCTTGCCTAGAAACCTGGGAAGAGCAAGAAAGCGTGGGGCTCACAATGTGCAGAAGAGAAGTAAGTGGCTTGGAAGACAGCGTGGCCGCCCTCTCAGAAGAAAAGAAATGCTGCCTGATCCAAGTTGCTGGTGTCCCGGGGACGATCTTGTGGGAAATGTGCAGATCAGGAAGGTTGGGTGGAGAAAGGGCTTCGGTCCGCTACACTCGGAGTGTGAAGACTTTTTTAGGGACTAAAATGAATCAAGTGATTCATTTCACTTCCATCTCCCTTTTTATTTGTGCCCCCCCAAACCACAGTAATTATGCATCCCCAAAAGGCCTAACCAAGTCTCAAAGAGCTCTTTTAGCAGATGTCAAATAAAAATTCTAAGTGACAAGAAATCATTGGATCATGATTTCATTGACAGTGTGTTTTCTTTTTACCAAAACCCCCAAACTCCCTGGCATTGAGCCTATTCTGAATCATAGCAACCCTGCAGGACAGGGTAGAACTGCCCCTGTGAGTTTGCGAGACTAAAGTTTTACAAAAACAGACAACCTCATCTTTCCCCCACCAAGCGATAGGTGGATTTGAACCCCTGACCTTGTGGTTAATTCGGTGCACAGCTCATTCCTCTAGGAGTACTCTTACAGTCGAAGCATCTTGGTTATGCGTTTTCCCCTTTCACAGGTGAGAAAACTGAGGACCCGGATAGCCCAGGACAGATAATCCAGAGGGTCTGAGTCTCTCTCTGACCGCAGGACCTTCGCTCTTTCTAATACCCAAGGCTGCCACGTGGCAGACCTCAGCTCCTTCTCATCTTTCTCAAAGGGATTTTCCCAGCCAAACAAGTCCAGGTTTGCCATCCCAAGGAACTCTGGGAGCAGCAAGTCTGCCTGTTCTTGGGAGGGTTTGCAGAGCCTTCAGTCCAATGCCCTAACCACTTCTGATTCTCATCCTCCAAGGCAATGACACTAGTCTGGCCACGTCCCAAGCTGTGCCATCCAATAGCCTTACAGCTCTCCTGGGACTCTGATAGAGGTGAGTGGTATAGCCTGCCCTTAGCCACCTCCCTTAGGGCCGAGCAAGACCAGACGCTCCTCAGGCGGGTAACTGAGGCCCGTTGGGGTGGCCTGGCTCACCCAAGGTCACGGGTTGAGTCAGAGCAGGGCAGGGTCTGGAATCCAAGGTTCAAAATCCAGTATTCTTTCCAATGCCCCAGCTCGCCTAGCTCCAGGAGAGGCAGGCTGGGGAGGGAGGCCAAGAAACTCGGATCACAAGAAAGGACTTCCTGGTAGGAGGGATTGCCAAGCCCAGAACATGCAGTTCAAAGGTCTTGTCCCTGGGAACTTCTGAAGACCCTGAGTCGTGGGGCAAATTACTTTAGGTGGGAACAGAAATGTCGTCTTGCTCAGAGAATCACTTCTCCCATTACGTCTGGCCTCTGCCTGCTTCAAAGCCTCCCTTGGCTTCCTATCATCACGAGAACAGAATGCAAACTTCTCTCCAGTCCGCAAGGCCTCTGGAAGCAACTC